CACATTCGGAAGGATCAGAAGATTTTTTGAGCCGAATTACTGCCTTTTTTTGGCTCATTATCAAGCCGGTTCAGCTCATTATCAGGCCGGTTCAGCTCATTCGGGTACAGAAATAACTCCAATAAGGTATACGAGTATAAACTATTCCCTATTTTTGGTTGAGAAGTTCCTAAAGAATATTTTTCCAAAAAATATTCTTAAGGATAACTCAACAACACTACGCCGGACAACGCGTCGCATATATGGACTCAACAATCGATGGTCAGTTCTACGTTGAACCAACAAACACGAGCTAAAGATCAGAAAATTAGGAACCGACTTCAAATTCGAAATTCCGACAACGGTCAGACAATAAATGCAGCACCGAAACTCTTACAGACATTCGACAAAGCACCGAATAGCCTGAAGGATTGAAGGAATCAAGAACAGAAGCCATTCCAAGGTCCCGTTACACCGACTGAAGGTTGGGACAATCATATCCAAAGTATTCCAGACTCTTCTATAAAAGAACGAGACTGAAATACGACGAGGCTAACGAACCGCACGCAAACAATGGAATACATCCATTTGCATGCGGAATCAAGCTAACAGTTCGGTGAGTCAACGAGTCATCCAACTATAGAACGGATTTGAACTCAAACACCGAGGCGGATTTACTGTTATATTAGGATTCGGACTGTCAAATCAGAGTCCGGATCAACAACGAAGCGCAAAACCGGACAACGGACACAACACCTCAACAAATCAGAGTCCAAATCAACCACGAGACCGAAAAAAATGGCAAAACCCAAACACCAAGGAGACTCGGCCAAAACCGAGCCACCTCTAGGTGGCTCGGTGGCCTATAAATAGCCCCCTAGGCTCATTGTTTTGGGGGTTGGAACTTTTGGAGCCGAAACTCTGCCGAATTGAGAACTGAGCTTGGAGTTTTGAAGACTTGAAGACTTGGACATTCAGATCTGGTTCTTGGCGAGCATCCACGTCACAAAAGGCAGGAGTTCGAGAATCAGAAATCAGATCTGAGATCTACACGAAGTAATACTCCGGATCAAAGCTTGGCCTTTGATCCCGAGAACTAAAGGCTATTATTTCCTTGGTGAAATAGTACCCCCCGGCTGTTATTTCCTTAGTGAGATAACACCCGTCAAATCGTGTAGATCCGACCGGATCTAGATCGTGCGGTGGTCCACGGATTAACCCCGGCGTTGGCAAAGAACCCACAAAAGCGAGTGACCGCAAAACAGGAGCTCGTGATTCGTTCGAAAGGAAAGTTGTAATCTTTTTATTTTTTCTTTGATTTCGTTGTAACCGGATCTTATAAAAAGACCGGATCTTTTGTAATCAAAAAAGCAATTACTTGAGAGAACAATGACATCAATGAAGAACATAATTTTTCCCGCGAACAATCAACACTTGAACGCAGAGGTCAAACCCTGCGTTATAACACTTGAACGCAGAGGTCAAACCCTGCGTTATAATATTTAGACGCAGAGGCCAAGACCCACGTTCAAACTTCATACCCAAACATAGGAGTCTTAACTCTATGTTTCCTTAAACGCAGAGTCCTAAGCCTGCGTTTTCAATTCTAACACAGAGTCCTAACTCTGCGTTCCCAATTTTAACATAGAGACTTAGCTCTGTGATTCCTAAATGCAGGGTCCTAAGTCTGCGTTTTCGATTTTAACACGGAGTTGTAACTCTGCGTTTCTGACAGAAACGAGTCATCTTCCTCGTCGAGAAGAACCCATCTAGGGTTTCCAAAGAACTTGTCGAAACAAGTTATTGTGGCCGCCACTTACCACAACAACGAGGTCCATGCAGCGGCGGCGACAATGTCGAAGCGCTCGGGAGAGTAACAACACCGCCGGCGTTCTCGGTCGGTGATGCCTCCAAAGCCACCTTGGCAACCTTCTTGGAACCCGAACTCATCCTCCTGGGCGCTATGCAGGTGGTTAATCGGAGAAGACGGAGTTTGTCGGGGAGAATCGACCGAAATTAAAACGAGAAATCTCGTTCTTGGAATCAAGCCAAAAGAATAAAGAGTCAAATGACTCTTGATGTGACCTTACAGACCTATTTATAACAGCCGTCGAGCTTTTAAATCGGTTCGGGACTCTAAGAAAGAATCCCAACCAACTCTGAAACGTGATTTTTCGCGTTAATAGATAAAGTCGGTTAGACTTTAACGCAAAGTTCACCTCTACGTTCAAATTCTTCAAACGCCAGGCCTAGACCTGCGTTGTAATGGTTCTTAACTCTGCGTTTAGAACCTCAAACGCAAAAGTCGCCTTTTGCGTTGCAATTATCCTAAACAAAAGATCCACCTTGGTATTTTCAAACATGATACTTATTCTTAAAGTTCATGAACTCTTTTAACATGGCATTGTTAAACCTTGGTGTCTCCTCAGCAAGGTTTAAATCCTCGTCAGGTTAATATTACACCTCAGACAGATGTCATCCCCACAGAGCTTGAATTTAGTTTAAATCGTTGTAACAGTAATTCCTCTGTCAAAATCCACTTATTGATTCTCATCAAGGGAACAATAGGTCTCCAAAATCATCCAAATCATGATCAATTTACTAACTCTCCCTAACAGAGTAGTAAATACTCAATTTATCAACTCTCCTTAATAGAGTGATAAAATTCTTAAAATCTTGTTCGAATCACAAGTATTGTGAATCATCACTCCGATGATAAATCACTTAACAAGTTTCCCTGGCGAGACGCTGAGTCCCCTAAATGTGTTCAAATCATGCCAATATTCTTCTTGTCACGTTAACACTACACCTCTGACAAAAATCCACTTATCGACTCTCTCCAATAGAGCGATAAGTCCTCAGAATTGCTCCTATAGCAATATTCTTCTTGTCACGTTAACACTACACCTCTGACAAAAATCCACATATCGACCCTCTCCAATAGAGCGATAAGTCCTCAAAATTGATCCTATAGCAATATTCTTCTTGTCACGTTAACACTACACCTCTGACAAAAATCCACTTATCGACTCTCTCCAATAGAGCGATAAGTCCTCAAAATTGCTACTATAGCAATGTTCTTCTTGTCACGTTAACACTACACTTCTGACAAAAATCCACTTATCGACTCTCTCCAATAGAGCGATAAGTCCTCAAAATTGCTCCTATAGCAATATTCTTCTTGTCACGTTAACACTACACCTTTGACAAGAATCCACTTATCGACTCTCCCTAATAGAGCGATAAACCCTCAAATTACCCTGATCACAATTTCTCGCATGTCATACCGTTGACAAAATTAATCTATTGACCCTTTCCAATAGATCGATAGATTCCCAAATCTCTGTTATGTTAACAAACCACCTCTAACAGTTCTAACCCGTTTGAATCAGTTAATTATTCTACAAAGGAATAACGAGTGTTCATATACTCATCCCCAACAAGTTAAAATTTTTCTAGAATTATCTTAGATGATAATAAAGGAAATTTTAAAAATTGGGCATTTTCTATATAGTTTCATTGTTGCGAGTCAGAACACGACACATGCAATAAATAGAGACAAACCAGAATCACTCTTTTTATTTTGCTCATAAATATTAAGGAGTGATACAAAAACCCTGTTCTTATCAAACAAAAAGAACAATACATAACTAAGCCTCCGGATCGGTAAAAGGGAAAGACGCAAGCCGGGACTTAATAGCAGATAATCTTTCTTTGTGAGCGGCCTACACCATCACCTCGGCTTTCTTCCTAAGCACGCCCTCATCCGGTGTTATCGCATTAACTTCCTTTTGGATAAGTTCAAGGTCTTGCACTGATGAACGATAAGCGGCGTAAGTCTTCACGCTTTCTAATGTGAGTTTCTTTAAAATTTCCTCCTCTCGCGTAAGCTCAGCCCTTTGATGAGCCCTCTCCACCTCTAGTCGGTCAAGTGCCGCCCTGGAAGTTTGTATGGCAGCAGTAGAAGCATCCACAGCGTGTTGCTTCTGAATGCATTACCCCTGTAAGGATGCAATTTCGAGCTCCCTTTCAGTGAGGGCTTCCTGAAGAGTTTCATATTGGCGGGCTGCTTCAGCTTTAAGATTATCAAAGACTAACACGGTCTGGGCAGCAAGATCGGCGCGATGCAATTCTTCCAAACTCCTCAGATCTTTCTCCAACCGAGAGATGTTCTCGGAGTAGTGCTGAAACCAACGAGCGTCATCTACATACCGAATGCCGCTCAAGAAAGGCATGAGTATGGGCTTAAAGGAGTCAAATGTAGCTCATCCGGCACCAACCTCCTCAATAGCAACTTTAGTCACATCCTCCAGAGGTCGTACAAGAAGCCTAAGCACAGAAGGGCTGACCATTGGACTTAAAGACTTCGCAGGAGAAGCTGTTGGGGAGCCCAAAGGCATAGACCCAGATGCAAGAGCAGTGGGTGATGACCGTGAAGAAGTCGGAGAAGCCATAGCGATGTCCAATTGCGAGGGACTGGAGGGTAGAGCCATGAGTGCCCCTGTTCGGGCTGAGCTCTGCACAATCTCCGTCCCCACAGATTTGAGGGGAATCGTTAGCGAAAGAGATTCTTATGGCAAAGAACTTGTCGTCACCGGCATCGATTTAGAGGGAGGAATGTCTGCTGCTTGTGGGTGGAGAGACGATGACGCATCAGCAGCCTCACGAGTTGGAGAACCAACACAAAAGAGCAGTCTGTATAAAAGAAAGAAACACCAGAGAAATCAGAGTGTGTAATTTCTACCAGTAGGGTAAAAAGGAAGATAACCGGACGCCTTGTCAGAAGAGGGTGGTGGCGGATCAGCCCAACCAGTGGAATCATTGTCACCATCGCCATCCTCCTCATCAGCATCCTCGTTATGAGAAGAGGTCCCATAATCTAACGGTTCCTCATCATCATCTGCAGGCGAGAGATCGGGAGAACTCACAATCATATCTGCTTTGGCCATTATACCAGTCGTAGGGCTAGGAATAACAGCCTCCGAGGGTGGCAATAAGGCAGAAGAAGTAGGAGATTGGTTCTAGTTAAAATTTGCAGCTTCATCTGCTAACAGTTCACCTGTAGGCGATCTAACCCCTTTAGAGGGAGACATCATAGGTAATGTCCCCGCAGATGAAAGAGAAGCACCAGGGATTTGCTCTGGAAGGGGTGAAATATCAGGAGAAGCCTTCATATCCCTAATCAGGGATTCATCTCCACCCTCTTCTGGGTCCAAAGGACAGTGGGAAGAAATTTTTTCAGAAAATTTAGAACCCCCAGAATGAGGACTTGTGTGATCGGGACGACTTACAGCAGCTGGTTCTTGCTCTTCCCCTCCACCGGCAGATTTAAAAGCATCCGCCATCAACTTCTCAGCAGGAGGGTCTACTAGCAGTTTCCTGCGAGTATGTTTCTCGTACTGAACTTCTTCTGCTTCGGTAAGAACCATCTTTCCAGCTGCCTTGGTTCTTAGAGTATCAGTAGCCTTAGGGCTCACTATTGGAGCGCTCTCCGGTCCCAGATCAATCTCAGTCCCTGCGGATTTGAGGGGAATCGTTAGCGAAAGAGGTTCTTCTGGCAAAGAACTTGTCGTCACCGGCATCGATTCAGAGGGAGGAATGTCTGCTGCTTGTGGGTGGAGAGACGATGACGCATCAGCAGCCTCACGAGTTGGAGAACCTACACAAAAGAGCAGTCTGTATAAAAGAAAGAAACACCAGAGAAATCAGAGTGTGTAATTTCTACCAGTAGGGTAAAAAGGAAGATAACCGGACGCCTTGTCAGAAGAGGGTGGTGGCGGATCAGCCCAACCAGTGGAATCATTGTCACCATCGCCATCCTCCTCATCAGCATCCTCGTTATGAGAAGAGGTCCCATAATCTAACGGTTCCTCATCATCATCTGCAGGCGAGAGATCGGGAGAACTCACAATCATATCTGCTTTGGCCATTATACCAGTCGTAGGGCTAGGAATAATAGTCTCCGAGGGTGGCAATAAGGCAGAAGAAGTAGGAGATTGGTTCTAGTTAAAATTTGCAGCTTCATCTGCTAACAGTTCACCTGTAGGCGATCTAACCCCTTTAGAGGGAGACATCATAGGTAATGTCCCCGCAGATGAAAGAGAAGCACCAGGGATTTGCTTTGGAAGGGGTGAAATATCAAGAGAAGCCTCCATATCCCTAATCAGGGATTCATCTCCACCCTCTTCCGGATCCAAAGGACAGTGGGAAGAAAATTTTTTGGAAAATGTAGAACCCCCAGAATGAGGACCTGTGTGATCGGGATGACTTGCAGCAGCTGGTTCTTGCTCGTCCCCTCCACCGGCAGATTTAAAAGCATCTGCCATCAACTTCTCAGCAGGAGGGTCTACTAGCAGTTTCCTGCGAGTATGTTTCTCGTACTGAACTTCTTCTGCTTCGGTAAGAACCATCTTTCCAGCTGCCTTGGTTCTTAGAGTATCAGTAGCCTTAGGGCTCACTATTGGAGCGCTCTCCGGTCCCAGATCTCCTTCTCCTCCTCTTCCTTCAGTCTCATCTTCGAAGGATAAGAACTCATTGATTCCCTTCAGATGAGATACCCGGGATCCTCTTCTGGATGAGTACATCCTCCTAATTTCCCGTAGTCCCGACAAATTCAACCTGTAATCAGGTATCTTGGAAGCTGTATGATACCAGTTACAAAAAGCTATAGATGAAAGAGAATTGGGCGTCTTGTGAGGTAACCTAAAGGTAGCTCCAGTGCAGCCTGTAGTAGAGTAGTACCAGGCCCTAACTCCTTCATATATGTTACCAACAATTGCAAGCTGACTCCGAGGATTCCCAACATATAATTGGTCATACCCGAACTGGCGAGCAAACTGATACGGCTGATACGGCTCGATTATGCATTTGTCATTTTGCCTAAAGAGGAGATAACCTGGTCTAATGTTCAAGAGCCAGTGGAAGACCCCTCCATCTAAGCGGGTAAAACCATCTGGACCAGCCATATCTTGGAACACTTGCCCATAGTCACCACCTTCAAAGTCTGGGAAACAGCGGAATAGTTAATAATTAAGGTCTCTCGACAAGATCTGACGGACCCTCACTACATATGTGCCTTCCCAAGAAGCTCCTTCCAATCGCTGCACAAAAGGGATGAACCCCTCGTCCGATGGAGATGGGGCACTCATCAAAAGAGGGCAATGAGATACGTACCATGCCATCAAATAGGTATATGGCAGGGGAACTCGAGGATTTGGTGTCACCAAACTCTTCTTTCCTTCAGAATCTACCTCCTTCACCTGAATGAATTCAAGGCACAACTCCCTCAAACCATGCTGCAAACAGCAAGTCATAGCTGAAAGCAAGTTCACAGGTCTCCCGTAAGCTAAGAGGACAGCCGGGTAGACTATCTCTATCATCATAGCATCTATGGTCCTCGTAGGGACGACACATCGCTTGAGCCACAACATGAGGAAACCGGCCAACAAGGCCCTGTCAGAAATAGGTACAGCAGCCTGGTGATGGAAACTTTCAAACTCAGTCTGTGCAGGGAAATCCTCTTCTAATCCCTCATTGACATAATGGGCCGTAGCATCGTTGATCAGAGTTTGGATTGTCTCAGGGGCACGCACGTTCCGACAAGACACATCAGCAGTTTTGTGGGATAAATTCTGGAATAGATAATCAGCCCAGGATAGCTGCTTTATACCACGTCCTCGGGCCCCCGTCAATTGAGCGCAGATTTGAAAATGACACATCACCTCCCATAGAGTGTCATAGACGTCAGGATGCTTCTCCTTCAAAATCCTGAGCTCGTTTGATCCTGGGACAAACTCCTCATAGGGCAAGTCTCCAAAAGGAAGACCCAAAACGTCATACATTTCGTGGAGAGCAAACCCCAATTCCCTCACTGGTGTGAAGAATGTACACGTCTCCGGGTTATAGTTCTCCAGAACAGCGAAAAAATTGTAATAGTTGTAGTCAACACCACATCTGGTAGCTATTACAGGACAACCAAGTCCAGATTGAGCTAAAGATCTCTCTAACTCTGTTACCACGAAGTCCGTCATTCGTGTCCACCATCCTGTCTCGGTAGAATGTACCCATCCAGGAGCTCTAAATACTGAGGAAGGGAATTCTCCTTTCGCGGCTAGAAATCTCCGCATAAAAGTGTTGGCCGTACTAGCTGTTTCTCCTAAAGGATACCCCCGTGAGAACAAGCAGGGCTCCAAAGCGGACACTTGTCGATTGTAACCTACAGTGTGTACGCCTGTGTAGGTCAAAGCTCCGATAGCTACTCCATCTTGCTCCCGGACAAGGTCCCAATCTATATGTCGAGGGACGGAAGCACACTGATAGTAAGCGATAGGAAACATCCTATGCATATCAGGGAGAAAGAAGCGTCGATCTCCTATTTGACTCAACCACTTATAGTGGCCGTCAGTCACGATTTCTTTTTGGATGATGACATGATCGCCAAACAGGAATGCTGGTTTGGTAAGTTTTTTACGGGAGTCGGTTTCGAATTTGGTGTCTGTCACCAAAATCCTGAGTACAGCTGCGCTTGGATTGGAGATCAGGGTAATACGATCCTTGTCTGCATCCTGAAAAATTAGGAGTTCCTGGCACAGATTGAATTGCATATTGGAATCGATGCCGCCCTCGCGCCCGAAATGGTGACGAAGAGTAAGAGGTTCGCGGGAGTAAGGCACTACGAAAAGAGAAAAGTACCCAGTTAGTCAATGAGGACATAAAACAAAAGGGAATTTTAATCAAAATCCCTAGAAGATTGAGAGATTTTAAACGCACAGTCCGAACCTGGCGTTGAATTTTATCAACGCAAAGGTCGAACTTAGCGTTAAGATTTTAAACGCACAGTCCGAACCTAGCGTTGAATCTTATCAACGCAGAGGTCGAACTCAGCGTTAAGACTTCGAACGCACAGTCCGAACCAGGCATTGAATTTTATCAACGCAGAGGTCGAACTCGGCGTTAAGATTTCGAACGCACAGTTCAAACCTGGCGTTGAATTTTATCAACGCAGAGGTCGAACTCAGCGTTAAGATTTCAAACGCACAGTTCAGACCTGGCGTTGAATTTCACCAAACGCAGAAGTCGGACCCCGACGTTTCAAATTCAAAACGCAAAGCTCCAACTCTGCGTTACAATATCAAAAAAACGAGTCATCTTCCTCGTTCACAAGAACCCATCTAGGGTTTTCAAAAAACTTGCCGAAGCAAGTTTTATGGCCATAAAGGTCGATACTTACCACCGACGAGGGAAGCCTGTGCCGAAGTTTTATGGCCATAAAGGTCGATACTTACCACCGACGAGGGAAGCCTGTGCCGACGGCGCATTAGCCTGAGTTCCATCACCGCCGACTGCCGAGGTCGACCGAGAACGCAGAGCAGCAGCAGCAGCCGACCTTTGACGAATGACGGTCTTCTTTCTTGGACCCATTGGGGATGAAGATCGGAGAAGATGAACAGAGTTCACCGGAGTTAAAAACAAAGAGTCTTCATTAAAAATCTTTCGAAAAAGAAGAGGCAAAAAGTCGGATGACTTTTGATTTGACCCTTAGCGGTCTATTTATAGACAGCTATGAGCTGTCAAATCGGGGCGAGATTTTAGGCCCAGAATCCCGCCAAACGTGGCCTGTGCGCCTACGTTGCTTGAACTTCCAAACGCAGAGTTCAACCCTGCGTTTTAATGTTTTAGCACAAAGAAATCTACCTGTGCGTCTGCATTGTTTGAACTTCTGAACGCAGGATTCAACTCTGCGTTTCCATTCCATGACACAGGAAATCTACCTGTGCGTGCTAACTCAACTAAACGGATCCCTCTATGTTTAAAACCAAGACATGGTTCCAAATAAATAGAGAGAGACTGATGTCAGCCATCAAGGTGACTAAAGCCAAGAAGAAACAGGCGACTCCACTGTGGAGTCTGTTGGATGAGTACAAATAGATTACAATCAGCAACAATAAAACTGTCAATCTCGATTCTACGCACAACCAAGTTCGTAATGTCTTCAGATTAGATGGAGTGAGCAATCAATCCACTAAATTTTGGGATCCAAAGTATTTCGAAAATTCGTCCCAGTCAACCGCGAACTTTCGAAAACTTTGGAGGGTGTTCTGTAGGCTGTCTAAAAATCACAATAGATAGTTGATCCCCATCAAGCCCCGACAATGGAAGTTACAATCAGACGACTTTCTAATCACTGCATCCGCAACTCTACAACCGCTACGAACACGACCTCATCTCTGAGATGATTGATCTTGATGGCTGCGACAACAGCATGACTAATATTATATTAGCAACTATTAGAGATGCTGATGAGCAGTATAATAATTTCAGAAATAAAAGGTTTGACTTAGCTAGTGAGTTGCTTGGTAGAGAGCTGTGGGCAAATATTCGTCTAAAAATCACTATGGATGATTGATTCCCGTCAAGTTTCAACAATGAAAGTTACAATCAAATAGCTTTCGTGCCGACAAACGAAGGTTGAAAATAGGAGACTTTTCACACAGATCGAGAAGAGTTACAATTCAACGACGCTTCCGACAGCTGACGAAAACTCTATTCAGTGACCTTCACAATCAACAGTGAGAGTTACAATCTGACGACTCTCATATCCTATAACAGGCAAAGATCAATAAGCAGTAGCCTTTGCAGTGTTATAATGGACGAGGTTACAAGTCAACAACCTCTCTCAAACGCAGAACTCACTTCTGCGTTTCTCAAATTCAAAACGCAAGGTCCACATCTGCGTTTCCCAAATTCAAAACGCAGACGAACAGTGCGTTCTCCAACAGACGTCCAACTCTGCAACGCAGAGTTAAAACACAAAACGCACGAACTGTGCGTTCTTCGGCAAACACTCAACACTGTGTCCCAAATCCAGGACGCAGAGTTGAGAACTCGATACACGAGCGGCCTGTGCGTCTCAAATCTCTAACAGAGATTT